GCGTCTGCTCCGCCAGCGTACAGCTCAAAGGGCGAACTTGAGGTTGAAGCTTCCAACGGATTGACCGCCTTGGTCTCTGCTTGGGATCGAACTAATTTTGATCGAACTACTACCAGGGCGCCAAACCGATGCATAGGTTGAACTGCGACTCCCAAATGTCGAAGCTGTTGGCGGCATCGGTCCTCTGCTGCATGCCGGATGGCTCCAGGCCACAGATCTGGCTCCACCTTAGACTGATGAAGGATGAGTCTGAGGCGACGTTTTACTTGTTGCACTTCAGCTTCAGCTCTGCCGTTGCTCTGGGGGTCATCGCCTTGAGTAAAGGTGTGAATCATATGCCTGTGTCCACACCAAGTTGCCACTCTTTTTGATAGCAGCCCTTTTTCTCGGTCACTATGTAACCTTACCAAATTGACACCCAGGCAGCGGAATCGTGCATGTAGTCGAGATAGTCCTGCCAGCAGCGAAGTCACACTTCGGTCTTCCAGGATCTCGACCATCGTGATGTTTTGGAGTTTGTGAGGCTTCATCAGTTCTTGGATGGCTTCAAGATCAACTGGATCCATAGGCTCTTCATCCCCTGCTACAGCCTCCTCCAACACCTCTTCTTCTTCCCCACATCAGGGGCTTGATCCTCAGTTTCTTCTTCCTCCAGCCCTCCCACAGGATCACCATCTTCCATATGTACCTCCTCCAAATTCTCCACCTCAGGTGCACCTGGGAGTTGGTCTGGAACTGGAATGGGCACTGTGCCCAACAGCGCGTACTTAGCCATCCTTCCAGTGGCTAGATCTTTGCCATAGGTGAACGGACCCATGATGTCAATTGCCAAGGTGAAGGCTGCCGACGCTGTCTTGGATCTTCGATGGGGATGTTGCATTCCCATCGCTTCGATGCAGGCACGGCAGTCGCGCCTGAATGGCACGTGCTGCATTCTGACGTGTCTGCGCCATTCATCCAGGTTGAACTTCGCCACCTGGACTGTGTCCTCATCCTCCTTGAGCATCTCCTTCAGCGAGTACTGGATTGCCCTCACAAGGCCCGAGGACCACTCCGACCAGCTTCTTGATGTAGCCATGCGTTGACTCAGATCTCCGCAAACTGGATTTGTGGTTCCACCTCCTTTGCAGAACTCCAGCTGCTCCATCATTGGCAGGTTGGTCAATAGTCCAGTTGGCTTCCTTCTGCAATGACCTGTCGCTCCTTGATCAAAGCATACCATCTTCATAGGTTCATCTTCTCCCAGCAGTTGCTGCAATTGCGGCCATTCAAAGAACGACGGTGACTCCTGACCTTCTGTAGTGTCCAAGTAGGTAGCTGGATCTTGTGGGCTTTCCAACAAAAACCCAGTCCTGAACCTTCTCTTCGGGCTCTGCTCAGACATCTTCCAGAGGGCGATCTGCTTGAGTACCAATGCTGAATCATTGTCAGTCAGTTGTGCCTCCTGTTCTGTCATTTGTTGCACCCCCCATCTTTCCTGCCCGCGACCTCGAACTCGACGTGGGCCAGGTGGTCCTTTATTGCGAAGCCTGGATGTCGTTCGACAAGGTGGGCCACCTAATACTGCTCGCAGCTGTCCCTGCTTGCCCAACGAACAAAGGTATCCCCATACCTGTGGTGAGTGAAGATCAAGTCGAGAGCCAAGCTGTGTATCCAGGAATAGCCACACATATCCTGATGGCAATGTCTTCTTCCAGCGAGCTCTGAGAACAAGTGCACTATGATGCCCTTTGCAGTTTGATGAGATCTTCTTTGCCTCCTGTTCCATGGCAGCTCTTCCCCCGATGGGTTCCACGACTGGCCCTTCATACAGGTCAGTAGCTCTTTGGGAAATCCTGGAACATTCCCCATCCACCATGCCACATCCTCCGGCTCCAAATCCAGTCGGCGAGCTTCCATCTCCTCAAACCCCTGGAGCATCTCCAACGCCTTGCGGCGATCCATGACTGGGCAGCCTCCTCGCAGCCAACAGGAAATTGGACCCTGCCGGGGATGTTTGATGACACACCCCTCCTTTGACATTGGATCTGGAAGCCATGATGCACCAGCAGCGTCAAGGGTATGATCGGCTCCACCGACTCCAATGACAGCAACGTACTGCAACCTTCCTTCCTATACAGCGTAGTTGAACCATGTGCAAGTTCCACTTGAACTGGGATGAGATGTGCCCGTTCTCCTGGTTCTGCAGTTCTCAAAGGATGCGTTGCCCCTCCATCGAGCAAGGCTACCTCCCGTTCTGTCCCAAGTCCTGGCTGAACTTGGCACACTTGTTTCAATCTGCAGGCCTTGAGTGTCCTCAAAGACTTGAGTAGACCAGTTGCTTCCGCAATCAATGCCGTAGTGGCCTCAGTGCTCCCCGTCAAAGCTCCACCACCGCCACCTTCCTTCTCCCCCTCCCGACTCCCTGATGCCTGCGAGCTCTTCAAGGACCCCGGACTCGGTTGAGATGTAGTCGTAGTAGCGGCTTCGGACCCCTTCGACGTGTCAGGATCTTCTGTGCCTTTCACTGGCGAATCCTTGTTTGACGAAGCGTTCTTCATCTTCGCCATCTTCTTCGGATCTTTCTGATCCTGCTCCTTTCGGGTAGGACATTCCTTCGACGTATGCCCTTCCCCACTACACACATAGCACCGGTTCTGCTTGTTCATGCCCTCCCAGGAATGCAAATAGGTGCATTGATCACCCCTTCTACAGCCCTGAGTTGAGCCCCAAGACCTGCACGGAGCCTTTGGCTTCTCCTCCGTGGACCCCACCGAATTGAACGCTGCCACCTTCGGAGCCGATAGCAGGAGCAGTGTTGGTATTCAAACTTGTTGTAGATGCCTTGGATGAACCCATCACCAGAGCCAGATCTTCAGCCTCAGCTTGCGCATACTTTGCGTACTCCATGATGGATTCCATCGTAGGGCATTGATCCACAGCTAGATCTTGCCTTGCCGCGGCCATTCGAAATGAAACCTGAGCTCCTCCACGTCAACCCAAGGCTTCAGTGACCCGATTCAAAACTTGCACCAACACCAAGGGATCGGGAGTCGTCAGACCCAACTCCTGAGCACGTTGAATCCAGCGCCTCCATTGACGAATTCCTGAAAGATCCGTGATGCTCTTGAGAAGTGCTGTCCGCTCGGCTGACCCCCCAGGTTGAAAGATGGTGTACAACCGAAAGAGGATTCCCAAACAGCTAACCTTTCTGGATGCAATCACGTCTTTTCGAACTTGATCGGGGAGAACACCCAGCAAAATAGTCACTCCACGATGTTCCACCCTTTCAAAACTTGGGTCCATAGGGCGCTCCACTTTCAGTCTCAACCGTTCGAGCGGCTTCAACTTCAACCAAGTTTCATAGAGTGCCTCCGCCTCAATGACGTTCGCCCGCCACCACCCTCTCGCTGACGCTGACAGATCACACATGAGCGGCATGGCCACCGTCAACCAATCTCCAAAGGCCAATGATGCCCCGTCACTACCCGGCAATGGCAATGCCGGCAACTCCAAGCTCCGGAACACTTCGTTCACCGCGCCCCAGTAGCTTCAGTTCTGGTTGAAGGACCCTGACTTGTTCCTCCTCCCTGCAACCCTGGTGGACATTCAAGACCATGTAATTGAGGACCTCCTTGATCATCTTGATCATGTGGTAGGGGGTGTCCCTGACCATCCAAACCAATCCCAGAGCGCGAGACCTCAACCCTAGGCTTCCCTTGCTCCCGACCAGCACTTGGGACCGACTCGAACGAAGACGATTCGCCACCCCTCGTGATCTTCTTGATCTCCTTTGCAAACAGGGTTTCCGCCTCCTTGAGGACCTTCTCCCTGATGGCCTCCACTTCAAGATGGGCTCCGAACATCGCCTGGAGGTACCGGGTCCTGTTCAGGTCTACTCCCGGTTGTGCACTGCCAGCCTGCGTGCTCCAGAAGGGATTGATCTCTTCCCCTCGTGCCTGTGGAGGTGTAGTCATGGCATACGGATCGAGCACCCTAGGTTGCGGCCCAGACTCCATCCTAGGCCCATAGCTGATTGGCCTTGACACCACGATGCTTCCATGCCCTCCATGAACATTAGAAACACTGCCGGCTAGATGTCCCAAATCATGGTGATCACGAAGTGGACCTAGTAGACCCTGATTCTGAGGGGTTCCTCCAAACGCTCTTTGTAGAACCTCAAGTGACTGTCTCACTGAGTCCAATAGCCCCGGAGCTGCCTCGATGGTCACCTGTCCCGTCTCCCTCTCGCGACCTCGGCCCGGTCCTTCTGGCTCACTCCCAGACCTTCGTGCCGAAGAGCTTGTCGTTGTCGTCGGCCCTCCTTGAGCCGGCGAAGCCACCGCCAAGCGCCGAACCGCTGCCGTCCTCGCAGGCACTGATGCAGCTCTTGCTTCTCGCTCCTCTTCCAGCAGCGCTTCGAGCCGCTCCTCCGCTGCTCCGACTCGCAGCATCCCTGGCCTGTCGCCAGGGTCCACCACCCTTTCCATCTCCCGAGAGCGCCGGCGCCTTGCCCAGCAACCTCCTCAAATGGAGGGTGGACTTTTGTTGCTTGGGCTCATAACCTAAGCATCCCAAAGGACAAAAAGCAGGCTTGTCATGGCTTGTCTTTTCTTGAGCCAACAGTCAGCGTGCGCTGGTATGTTCACAGTTTGTGCAAATGAGAGCATGGATTCCTCTGTCCACAGAAACAAAACGGCCCCTTTGTGATGGTGCTGGCAGTCCTTTCTGAATTAATTAATGCAAAGCTCTTCCCTGAAAATGCTGACCATGCCCAAAGCTGAAACCATCAGCGCCACCAAACTCCCAAAACCACAGCATGCCATCCCACAAGACGGCCTGTTTAAAGTCCAGTCCTTTAAATGCTTCCCAGGCTATGCAAAGGATTTGGAAAAAGGTTGCTGGGATCGCGGGGCAGGTCTCCAACTAAAGCCGAGCAAGTCTCAGCAAAATTGCGGACATGGTGCACCCAAATTTGATGGAGGAGCCTGGTTCCAGTGCTTCTGTTCTGTGTCTGCCAGGCATATGCCATGGGGTTTCCGCTTTTCTTGCCTGTGGATGAGTGGCTCTATAGGCGCGGACTTTCTTTTTCAATGGTGTTTTTCGTGACATTTGGAACTTAGGCTTCAAAAGTCAGTCCCTTATGGCTTTATGGTTCATGCTGTATCTCTTCCAGGCTTGGACCATTAAATGACAGGAAAACAACACCAAACTGAAACTCTCAAAACTGTCCAAGTGCTATCTCACCTTAGCATTGAGACACTGTGAGCTTAGCGTTGTGGATGAGATGCTGCTGCGCACCATTGACCTAGGCGATCATCCATCTCCGTTTTGGCAAGAAAAATCCCGCGCTCTCACCACCGTTATGATGTGGCTGAGGCTTGGTTTGGAGCCTTGCGCCAATCATCTTGAATATGTTGTTCATTTTGATGTTTTTCTCCTTTCTACACTGCAGTGGTTTTCCTCTAGGTTGTCAGATTTCTCGACGTGGCCTTTCACGCAACGCTTCTGCTCGGTGCCAGAACTGCTTGAAGGCCACGAAGAGGGTACAAAAGAATACAGTTACCACAATAATTGCAACCATCTTGTGTAACAGGAAAGTTTGGAGACCTTTGCACATGTGACGTGGGAAGACCTGCCTTGTTAGACCTGCTTTGCTTGGCTTGTTATTTGACAAGTCATTTTTGGAGGTTTGATGAAGACACCCCTGGAGAAAATTAGCCTGGCCATGTTGGAGTGGATGGCAAAAAGCCAAGAGGAGGCTCTAGCACTTGTATGCACTTGTGGCATCATGAGGTTTACTTTTAGCCGAACCCCACGTGGCCAAACCGTTTTTGTTAAGGGGTTGCGGCGTTGGTCTGGGCTTTTGCACAGCTTGCAACAAGGCCTCCCGAATCCGGACATTATTGTTTTCTGAAGATTTGAAGACGGAGAGGCTCTTGACACATTGTTATGATTCGCGGAGTTGGCAAGGCAGCGAAGTAATGTCAGAGAGTTCTTTGGAGGTGTTGCAAGAGCTGGCATCCAAGTCGGAAGATCCAACACATGCGCGAACGATTGCTTGTGGAACAGCAGTGCTCAGGTCTGTGTTTGGTCCAGGCTATGTAAGCAGGCTTGGTCCGGGTCCAATGTAGCAGGGCAAGACCGAGGCAGCGCGCAGGGAATTGCAGGAGCACACTGAACGGAGGCAAGGCAGCTCAAAACATAGCGAAGGTACTAGCAGAGAGCAGAGTTGCAGGAAATAGGCAGCGCTGCATGGCTGATCCTCATCCTCATCTTCGCCGATCCTAAATTGCTCATCCGCATCCCGATCCTCGAGACCCTCACTGTCTTCAGCTTTCCAAAACCCATGAATCACGTGTCAAAAGGTGAGGGATATTTTTCCTTGTCGTGTGCCAGAGTCTTTTGTGAGTACAAGTTGAGTACTGTACAAGTTTGAATCCATTTTGATCCTGGAAAGATTGCATGCTGGTTGACACCAACAGCCCCAGGGAAAAGATCATACCCTGAACCACGCTGCCTCACCCCACCCCATGTACTTATTGCGCCAAACCACTTGGCCTCCAAGTATTTCAGTTCATGCCAACAGAACGCAGAATAGTGAAAATCAATGAACAATCCATGTACCTAGTTTGTCCTAGGTTCGCCTCATCTCACTTTGTGTACGAGGCTGTGCCTCTCCTATGTTTGGTCCCAATCCAACACACATTGAGATCATTTTATCCGTGCGTGATTCCACATAAATTTCTCACATCAGTGAAATAACATGTAGAACTTATGTGTCAACTTCTGGGTTCCACTGACCCTGTTACTTGTCCTCAACCCTTGCTCTCAAATGGGCATCGGCCTTCTTTACAGAAACGTAATTACAACAGAAAAACAATGAACAACCCCTTCCGGCCCTTCTGCCAAAACGGTTGTATTTTGAGAGTAAACACAATTTATAAGTCATAGGTTCAAGACCACACTTTTTCAATTGCGCAAGACACCTGTTTGTTTTGGCTTTGTTTAACAACTGTTGCAATATTCAATGCAGAACAGGATTGATCACCGCTCTCAAATTTGATTATCCACATGCCTTTGATTGCTTCATCTAGTGGCAACTCTTAGTGAACAAAATGAAGCAGACAAATGCAAACATAATGCCGCTGATCGAAAGTGAACGCTTTGCGACAAGAACAAGTAGCGATGCATTTTCTGACCAACACGTCTGACCAACACGGGTGGTTGGCTGCGATAGCTTAACATGCGTGGCTGTTCTGATGCTTGCTGCGGTCTCTTGGCTGGAGAAATTATTACAGTACTTTGTCAGCAAGTCGAGATGCTGCGAGTTGGCAATCCACTTTGAAGCGTTTTCATTTTCATCAGATTCAGAGACCCTGAGAACTGTGCGCAGGAGCGACCTGCTATATTCTGCACTAGCTTGTGAGCATGCTGGAGCCTCAAAACCCACGATTCGACACACTGATCTTGAAGAAATGCTTCTGAGGAAAAGTTCGACAAGTTCGGATGGCCTGCGTTTCGTTCAGCCTGCCGTCTCATGCAGAATGCACAGTGCAAGGGCGAGCCTGCCGTCGCTAAGGTTGTTGAGGCCAATGCAGCTGCTTTCTCAGTGTTGTTGTGACAGCTTTACAGTTGTTCCAAGTTGTTCCATGCCACCTTAAGGTCGCTGGTTTTCCTTTGGAGCAGGACATTGCTTTCTTCACCGATGTTGCCCTTTTGGACCTGGGAGAGGCCCTGCACAGCTGGCCGTGCGGAAGCTGTTAGCAGCAAAATGGGACCTTCAAACTTTGAAGGCCCCATTCCTTCATTACGACCCGAAGCAAGCAGGCTAGATCGAACTCGACTTGGCTAGATCGAACCATCATCGCTTGCGACACTGGCTTTTGGCTATCTCGTTTGTTTGCTTCACACGCTCCACATTACAAAGACAGCTCAACAGGATACAGACAAGAACCGCAAGATTGAAAAACACGTTCCAGAAACAAGAATTGGAATGCCTTCGACTCCTAATGCAAAATCGAGCCTTAGAGATCTTAGAGTCATTTGTGTCGTAAACGCGATTGAGAATATCTTTGGGCGGTGACGTGGTGGCATAAAACCCAAAGGCCAGAGGCAATTGGGGAAACACGAACGGGAACGGAAACTGTATATGCTTAAAGGTTTTGCAAGCCTCATTGCCTGACACCTGAGCCATTGCGGAAAATCGGCAGGTCAAGGTCTGTGGTGATCCTGTGACTGGTGTCGCAATCTTCCCGCCCTCGCCAAAACAATTGAAGGCGGGTCAGCGGATTAGTCAATCGAGACCATGAGTTGATGGTTCCTGTAAATGCCAAGCGTGAAGCGTTTGCTTCTCCGCGACTGCCATCGACCCTCCCATCCACAGTGGACGTATTTGTCATCACTAGCTGCCCCAAGCCATGGCTAGTCGATCAAGACATTGACAAATTGCCAAACCCATCTTCCTCAACGGCCCAATTTGAATTCGTTGAAAACCAATGAAAGCCATGCTTGCGGCAGATGCAGCATTTCTTGCTACTTGCACTTGTGCTTTGTAGGTGAACGGGCCTCGGCTGGTGCATCAACTGCGGATTCGTTGCACTGTAGCTGCTGCATGCTGCATGAGGGTCGCTCTGGACTGATGGACGCGGTGCAGGCCGGAGCCATTTACTTGCCCTCAGCTGGTGCCGTTCAGGAAACTCCCAATGGCTACAATGATGCCCAGCCTATGTTTTGTGCCTGTATTGTTGCGCCACGTTGAGCTGCTATTGGTTTCTCATGTTAGCCTGTGTGAGCCAAAAAATGTGCGACGCGCAGCTTGGATGTTGGAGTATATTGCGACCAATCTGTAAGTTGAGAAGGGCAATTGCTGCGAAAGTGTTTGTCAAAGTAGGCAGCAACCCCAACGAGCAAACTGTGGAACGACTCGTGGCGCAAGATCCGCGAACGCCAAGCACAAGGTTTGTTGACCTAAGCCCACGCGAAGCAAGCCAGAATAAAACACATCAATGTATTCTTTGCTGCCAACTTTTGCCGACTATTCTGATTAATCGGTTGCATGAGTTGTCTTACTTGGCGGCGCACAGTTGTTTTCAATCTAAACATATCATATCATCACACCTTTCAACGAGTTTATGAAGAAACGTGCGAAATTGGAAGCAAAACATGCTGCTGGGAGTCCAGCCATGTCATTAATTTCCTGGAGGCTGCTGCAGAAAGCCAAGTGAGATCTTTCAACGCGCTTTCCCTGACTGGGAATCGTTGCACTGGGAATCATTTCACCTGTAGTAACAATAAAGCTTTCTAGTTACTAGACTCTTTCTTTTGCAAGTTTCTTCTGCAACATTGCAACGTTCGTCTCTATGACGCTGTGATCGAGGTTGCGCTCCAGCACTTCTTGAAGAACCTTTCGGCAGATGAGGCTTGAGCGCTCCATTGGTTGAAAGGATAAAGGAAACAAAGAAGAAAGGTCCAAAGTTCAAAGGTCTAAAGAAAGAAAGACACAAAGGAAGACGAGTGTCCCAAGAAAGGAACCGAAGAAAGAAAGGCCCAAAGGTCTAAAGAAGGAAGGAAACAAAGGAAGACAAGGATCTTAAACAAGATGCGCACACACTCTGACACTTGTATTCAGTGACTCAGTTACCACGATGGGAAGGATGGCGGTGGAACGGCATGGTGATTGGGTCAGATCACTTGAAATGTTTAACGTAGTTTCTCAAACGCTGCACATCTGCGGACGATCGGCGGCTCAGCTGCTGGGGACGAGTAGGTTTGTGGGAAGTATCATGCAAACGACCATGAATCAAAAAAGGAAAATTGGAGTAACAGCTTGTGAAGAACGAGCAGGTACGTCTGGCTGATCAGGCCAGATATCAGCACGGATCTTGACCCTCTTCGTTGGATCACCAGTCAAGTCCGTGGGTGATCCCCCTGCATGTGAAAGTTCGTGGAAAATCGGTGAAGGAGGTGGCGGAGGAAAACCCTTTGTCCAGGGGTGGACACACACAGATCGCCGTCTTCGGCGCTTTTTCAAAAAACGGTGGCAGGCGTGATGGTTGTGTCCTTTTTGGACATAGAGCCTCACTAGCTCGGCAGCAGCAGCTTCAGCGCTGGAGGGTGGAAATGTGTATTTGCGAATGGTGTGGAGTCTTGATTGGAGGCCTGACAGAGCCAAGCGCTGGCTCCCGGCGGTGGTGGAATCCCTGATTTTCCAGGGTTGGGAAGGTTGCATGTAGGTGATGGTGCGTTGTGGGAGGTCGATGTTGAAACCTAGGAGATGGAAGTCCTCCACCGGTTCGAGTTCCACTGGGTCGCCAAAGAAGTTGTGGTGGATGAGGGTTTGAATGGCTGGATGGTGGAGGAAATGTTCGTTGTGGACAATGAAACGGTTGTCGACATATCGATAGTAAGTGAAGTGTAGGTCAGTGTGTTGAAGTAAGTTGTTGTGGATCTGATGCCAGGAATGTTCTATGAGGGTAATGGCGACATTGCAGAGGGCTGGAGAGAGCTGGGATCCAATCCCAGCTCCTCGGATTTGCTTGTAGGTGTTGTTGCAAGCCCGGAAAATGCATGTGTTGAGGACAAAGCCCACGATGGTGGTGATATCTGATGTTTGGATGGTGCGTTGTGTAGGGTGTTTTCGATGGTGTCTGCCAATGTGAGAGTGGTGAAAAGGGTTGCCGGTAGCCTGGACATCCACCGTCAGGGTGTGTGTGGATTGCTGTTGTTGCCAGTGGTGAATGAGAGAGTGAACTGCATCGATGAGGCGGTGTTGTGGGACCGAGTTAAAGAAGCCGACCAGGTCATCGTTGGTGGCGTGCAATGAGATGTCTGGTGGGGTTTGGGTGAGGTAGCTGTGGAAATGGCGCCAAAGTTGGGGAATAGACATTTGGCCGGGATGTTGGGGGTAAAGGTGTTGAAGGATAATGTCAAGGGCACGGCTGGTGATGCGGAGTAGATTGCCACTGAGTGACTGGAAGTATGAGATAATGGTGCGGCCTTTCTGCCATTGCTTCTTTTCTTTGAGGTGGACGACGCCGTAGGGAATGTTGAAATCTTTGCGGAAGCCCCATTTGTAGCGGGTGCGCAAAATGGGGGGAACAGTGGCTGCCAGGTGGTCGTGGATGTTGGCGGCAGTGAGGTGGGGAAGTGGTTCGAAAAGTTCGGGGGATTGCCATGTATTCAAGGCGCCAGTGAAATATTGGCGGGGGCAGAACAGCCGGAGTTGTTGTAGTTCATGGTCGGCATGGTGAAGCACTGTGTGTTGGCCGAGGTATTCTTGGAGTTGGCGAAGCAGGCGAGCCGTAAAACGGGGTTGCTGCTTGAGGTGCATGTTGTGTAGGCGCCATTGGTGCTCGAGGAATGGCTGCAAGTGTTGTACGAGGGATGGTGGGAGCCCCTGTAGCTTGAGCCATTTGGTGTAGGCCGTCCGGAACGTGAGGAAGTAGCGGGCCTTGCTTGGGTAGTAGGTGCTGTTCATGTTGGCGTTGAGAAAGATGCCAAGATGTGTGGGAAGTTGGAGTTGATCAAGTGTGAGAATGTAGTGGCCGTTGGTGGTGGGTGTGTCAGGATCCTGCAGGAGAGTACGAAGATGATCGCATGCGCAGGGGAGGTCTGCTGGATCTGGCGGGGAGTGGAGGGTGTCCTCCCATGTGCGGTGGTTATGTAGGTGGGAACGTAGGGTTTTGTGTGCGGCTTCGCGCAGTCGGTGGGAGGGGAGGTGAAGGGGAATGGTCAAGTGCTTGTGCTGCTGAATGGTAGTGCGGAGCCACTGTTGGCAGTGTTTGGTGAAATCGTCGTGGGCCAGAAATGGCACTGTCAGTGGAATATTTGGTTTTGGCGGCGTGAGGTTGCGGTAGAGGAGGGCTTTGTTGATGATGTGGAGAGCTCTGCTGCGGCCGGGTTCTTCAAGGTTGGCGGCCATACGCCGGATGGCGTAGACTTCAAGGTCCGTGTGACGGCCGCTTCGTAGTTCTTTGGCTGCTTCAAAGGAGGCTGCTGTGTGTTTGGTAAGGTTGCGGAGAAGTTGGAGGGCGTGATGCTTGGTGGAGGTGTAAAGGTGTGGTTCTCTGAGTGTGTACTGGCGTTGCCGCAGGCGTCGAAAGAGTCGTTTGCGGGTTGCTAATCTGGAGTAGAAATGGGCTCTGTGTTTGGTGAACTGCCAGCCTTGAGCTTTGAGCTTGAGGTGGTGGGAGATAAAGGGCCAGTTGAGTGTAGGCATCCAGTTTGCGATGTAGTGGTGTTCTTGGATCCAAGCTTGGTCGTATGTGTCGTGGGATGTAAGTTGGATGGTAGTGTAGTGGTGGATGTTGTTGTGTGAGTGCCAATAGCGTAGGGAGAGTTCTGCAGAAATGGGGATATTGTTCTGGAGTTGTTTGAGTTTGGCATGGCGGTTGTGTTCGCGGTGGGGAATGCCAATGGCTGTGGAGCCCGCATAGAAGTGGCCATGTTGATGGTAGCAGCGTTGAGGTTGGTCAGGATTGAAGTGGAGCTTGATGTAAACTGAATTGGAGGAGAGGAAGTTGTGGTAGTGGTATGTGTGGGGTAGGATGTGGAGCTGGCGGAGACGGTTGCGCCATTGTTGTGAGCGACGGGTGTTGGAAGGATATGCGAAAAGGAGTGTGATGTGGATAAGGCCAGTGGCAAAGATGGCTTCGGCGCGGTCGATGTATTGGGTGTGGTGGATGAGTACGGAGAGTGCTCGGTGTAAGTGGAACAGGTGGTTGAGGTTGTTGTGGCTGGGTTGCTGCTGGGCGAGGGTAGCGAGTCAGCAGCCGATGGCTGCCCCCACACTCACAAGCTGTTGCAAGCTCCGGATGGGTAAGCGATTGACCCGGTTGAGTGGGAGGCCGTAACGTGCGGCTGCGTCTTTGAGCTGCTGAGTGGTGACTTTACTCGTTTGCAGCAAGCGCACGACCTCATTGGCGGCTTCCTGGACGGTAGGGTCGAAGGTGGTGACCCAGTGTTGGATATCCGTGTGTATATCTGGGATATCGTCCTGCAATGTTGGGTGTGGAGGTTGCAGGACATCTGAAAGGGCTGGGGGTTTTGGTGGTGGTGGGGTGGGTTCGTGTGAGGGGGCGGCCGGTGCTGAGGGGTGGCTGGTCAGCTCGTCGGTGGTGTTCTTGAGGGCGCGTAGAGCGGTGCCCTCCGCTGGTGCCGGGGAGTGAGTTTGGAGTTGTTGGATTAAGTAGTTTGATGAGGGGAGCGTGGAAGGCTCGGGCCTGTGTTGTCTTGCTGGGGATGTCAGTGCCCTGTTTGGTGTGGAGGGTCTCGGCGATGCCGTCTAAGTCGAGACGTTTCTCGCGGAGCTCTTGGAGAAGGTGGGTCACGAAAACTGACTCCGCAATACTTCTGGTGGCAATGAAACCAGTGTATTTGCCATTGCTAAGAGTGCGGGCGGTAAATTCGGAGGTACCATGGTACGCCAGTTGCCATGGGAAGATGTCGAAGGTCGGAAGCCCTGCCACCCCTGCTTTTCGAGACCACTGTGTGGGTTGGATTGTACGGTAGAGTTGGTGGCCGTGCAGGGTGTTGGAATCCCAATGGTGGTCGGTTGGGTTCCAAGAGTCTTGGATGGGCTGCGCTTGTAGGTCGATGGTGGTGGAGTGACTGGGTCGGCTGTGGGGAGTGGTGGTGGCGGTGGAGGTGGGAACTCCGGCTGTGATGGTGGTGCCTGTTGTGGCGGTGTGTGCTGCGGTGGCGGTGTGTAAGGTGATGTCGTGTATGGATGAGAGTGGTGGGCTTGATGCGTGCGGAGTGCGTGAGTGAGTGGGCCATAAGTGCCGGTAGGGTTGTATGTGTGGTGAGTTGCAGTGGGAGGTGAAACCGTTGTGTCTGGGTTGGCAAGCTGCTGATGATGCTGCTGTTGAAGCAAGTAATGATTCCAGTAATATTGTTGCCACTGCGCGTCCATGGTGGCTGGTCGAAGTGTCACTGGATCGTTGAGGCGAAGATCACGGGTTGTTGGTTTGAGCAAGCTGTCAAGAAAAGGTGTCAATCAGTGCATAGTGGCCTCCAAATGGCAGTGTCAAACAGTCATGAAACTGTCAGACATAGTTAGAGGACCAATACTGAAAGGAGTTGTGTCATGCAAAGGCAATGTGAAAATGTCGCTGAAAAAGTTAACAAAAACTGGCTGGGTCCAAGTATAATCAAAGTTGATGAGTAACAAAGGCAGCTGAAGGCACAAACTGGTTTTTTCGTTGTGCAGGGTGAAACTGGTTGTCTCTCTCCGAGGTCTCCGGGGAAAAAACTGGCTTCCGAAGATGATGGTCGACGTAGAACACCAGGCTGAAACAAAAACAAGAAAAAGAACCCGCGGTGTCAGGGATGGTTGTTGGCATGTAAATCATCAACGGATAAAGCACTGTGGGTAGCTCAGAGTCAGCCGGCGCTTGGTCACTGATTGTCCGCGTGCCA